TCGGTTTTTTCAAAGTTATTGCTTTGATATAATAAATGGTACTTTAATTAAATAAATAGGAGTAAATTGCATTAGATAATCCTTTAAAATTTTTGTTTCTTTACTTTCAGGCTAAAAACATTTTCAAGTCTATGTATCCAGATGAAGACTTCTTGCTCTGGATTGGTGTCTATTGATGAGTTTCGGTTACTGCATCGCCACCCTCTTGGAGTTCGCGGGTATTCATTACTTCACGAAGGTGATAATTCTGCGTAATCGCGATATTTTCTCATCCGTTCAATCGCTTCCTTGTATCTTAAGAGAAAATATATCGAGAGAATTTATAACATAAAGTATTTTGGGAAAACTATTGCGATCTTCCAGGATCTCTAATTAAATATAGTTTTTTTTACCTTTGCAACATGTATTTTCGATGTAAGTGAATGCTAGAAAACGTAGTTTCATGTTTACATATGTATGTAAAAAAATTACTATATTTGCACAAAAGATTATTCAAACAATATTCAAAATTATTGTTGCATCTTTAATTACAATAAATATTCATAAAAAAAAGATAAAATTTGAGTCAATATCAATCTAATTTTGATTAATTTTCAGGTTGGTAGCGGCGAGATTCCGTTGGACGACGAAGAATGGGAAGAATGGAAGGGCATCGCGAGCGAGGAGTTCGAGGATACATTTCGCACTATGATCTCTTGCAGCCCTCAGGCTGTTCATCCGGAGATTATCGATACGAATACTAGAAAGCGTGGTTCCCTCATGTCCGCACTATACAGTGTTAGCTTGATATTTTAATAAAAACTGTTAACAAAGTCACCCAAACAATATCAAAGACATGTCTTAGAAGTTCAGGAGATTTTTAAAAATGTAAAAAAAACGCCCTTTTTGGATATTTATATTTTCTGTATTCTGGCCTTTCTGTAAAAATTTGTAAATTAATTTTCCGTAATTCACAGAAAATTATATAATTTACGAATAATGATTGAAGTGCAGGAAAATGAATCTTGTAATCTGTTAAAATATTCGATCTTCGGAGTCAGGTCTAAAAATATTTAATTTTCTTCTGAATTCTTGACAAGTTCTTCTCCCAGAATTTAATATCAATTGTATGTGGAATATCAGTTGTTAATTCAAGTTTTACTTCCAGCAGGACGGCGTCACATACGAAAGAGATTCCTGCCATTCCATCACGGTCGCCGTTTCTTCAAGGTGATAGAACCCGAACAGAGAAATGTCGACGTTGAGGTGAAGTTAGCGAAGGACGTTCGCGGCTCATTAGGCTTAGAGCTGTCCTTAGAACTATGTGTAGTTTGTGGGAATAGAGCCAATGGTAGGCACTACGGGGCGATCAGCTGCGTGGGTTGCAAGCTCTTTTTTAAGCGCAGCATCCGCAAGCAGCTGGGTTACCAGTGTCGAGGAAGCAAAAGTGAAGTTTCCAAACACCGCAAAAATCGTTGTCAGTATTGTAGACTTCAGAAGTGCTTGGCGATGGGCATGAGAAATGACTATAATGTGCAACGTAAAAGAAAACCGGTATTGGGTGAGCCCAACTATGAAGAGATAAACGAAGTTCCCTCGAGCGTAGGACACGACTCACCACTGCCCGTCCACACCGTTACGCCGCGGCCGAAGAGGAGAAAGACACACTGTGAGAACATGTTGCAATCTGATAATAACAGCTAAAAATATAAGGCAAATGAAAAATTTAACAATTTTATCTTTGTAAAGTTGTATAGTTATTACAAAAATAAAAAAAAATATATGTATCTAATTATTTTGATATCTAAGAGAATTAACAAACAAATAACCGTATCTTCAACCCAAATAAATTTTGACCTATAAATATTTGATACTGAAAAAATACCTTATGCAGGTATCTGTAAAATATAACACTAAAAAATATATGCCTTAAGCAAATTTTCTATATCTAAGACTTGATATAGATATTAAAATAAAAAAGGAATGTTCCTCTCATAGCCTTGAATTTCCCTTGACTTTTATACGAAAAAAAATGTATTATAGTTGATTAATAGTTATAAACATTGTGTATTTTTGCATTATATGTATAGTTTTACTTGTAAAAGCGAATGAAGCAATATACAACATTAATTGCTTCTTCGTGAAAATAAACTATAGAACATGAACGGCAGGCTTTAAGTGATTTACGTCTAAGAGTTAAGTATTATATATTAAAATGAACTATTGTCTTATTTTTAAGTCACAAACACGTTGGACGAGTATAATCGCATACACAAATGTAAAAATTTGATAAAATAATTGATGCTTCTCTTTTCATTTCAACAAGTATGAACATAACAATACAAAATTACTAAGAAAATTATTTCAAAACGGCACACTAAAAAGACGACAATTATACGAGAACCAATTATTTATTTAAATCGAGTTGTACATTTTTTCTCATATTTATTACAGATATATTATGACAGCGCATTAAAGGTATATCTATTTATGTATAATGTATGTCATTGTATGTAATACAAACTATCAATCCCAATATGTCGCGACGTCTATCTAAATGACTAATGGCTCGTGCACATACAATAATTTATATGTAAATTGCGGTATGCATTACTGTAATACTGAAGTATCAAAGCGTGACGCCATATATCTTCCCATTTTCGACAATAAAGACGCAAAAGCATTATATGATAATTGTTCATTCTTCCTCTTTCTCGGCTTTCTCGACGTCTTGCTTCTCCTCACCCTCCGCGATATCACCACCCTCGAATTTCGGGCCCGGTGCTTCGTCACCTTCCAGAACAATTTCCTCTGGATCAGGCGCGCGTGGCAAAAAGTCTTCATCTGGATACATAGACTTGAAAATGTTTTTAGCCTGAAAGTAAAGAAACAAAAATTTTAAAGGATTATCTAATGCAATTTAGTACTATTTATTTAATTTAAAGTACCATTTATTATATCAAAGCAATAACTTTGAAAAAACCGA